GAAAAGTTTTCAAGAATGTTACTGTTTCATTACAGATAGCAACATTTATAATGCATTGCAGCAGCAGAGAACACTTTAATATGCGTTTCATTGCTTGTCACAGATGTGCAAAATGTGGCACTTATTCTAAACCAGATAATCTACAAGTAAGTTCATTTACTACAGCCTAAGAAAACACATCGTACAACATAATTGTGACAAATTGTAAATCATAATAATAAAATGTGGCACTGTGGAGTCAAATCCACCGTAGATGAAGCTGAAACAGAATGAGATGGAGGCAGATGGTGATGGAGAAGTGGAGCAGAGTGGATGTGAGTGGAAGCCCATCCTCCCACTCTATCCAGCGCTAACAGCCCGCTCCTCGGAGCACCAAACATTATGACTATCAAGGGCCACTAAATGAAATCAACAATTAGCCATCAAGCCTCAATTCAGCACACACTGAAGAGCTGTGGTGCTCATGACAGTCAGTGTAGAGACCTATCTGCTGCTCTTCACCACACGTTTTTGGTCTGATTTTACAACTCTGAGCTTTGTAATTTTTTGCATTTTAATACTGATGCTTCCACATTTCTGGTAATGCCTTTGTGTTTCCTGCAACTCAAAGTAAAAGGGTTTTACGAGTGGTCGAATGAAATTGACAGTCATGTTAACCCTCCTGTTGTGTTCGTTTCTGCCCCCTTACCTTTCCCGTTCAAATTTGACCGATCCTTTTTTAAACTGCTCTTACATTAACACAAAAACATGAATACATGAATAGATACAACACAAAAAACAGGAATCATCATTATTTAAGACAATGTTTCAGACTACTGGTTTAGATGAATATATGCAGTGAATATACAAATAATAGACACTGAAAATGAACATGGTTGTCGATATGTAGGTCTGTGCGCAGCATCCGGACTAAAACCACCAGACTCAGGGACAGTTTCATCCCACAGGCAATAAAACTGTTAAACACCTGAACTGTTGAAACAACATCCACAATATTCATCTGGCTGCTACTTAGAAATTATTTATCTATTTACCTAATATATCATATTTCAATGACTTGCATATAGACTCTTATTGCACTATTTCACTATTTCACTTTTTTAAACTATTTTCTTCTTGTATTTCCTATTTACTATTTACTTGCACTATATTTTTCTGTTTATCTGTGTTTTGTGTTGCTCTGTTGGAGAAGCCTGTGACACAAGATTTTCATCGACATAACTACACTGTAGCTATGTTCGTTTGACAAATAAAGAACCTTGAACCTTGTACTATCTGATGGATGAACATAATGTAGGGTCTACTATAGACAAAGGTATAACCCAACAAACCATGTAAGAGAACAGTGTTTTAGAAAATCAAATGATTTATTATTTAATTGTATACATGTATTTGTAATGTTGAGTGTATATATAATATAAGGGTAATGCCCACTGTGGAGCATACCATTAGGCCTTTAAGCAATCACATGTAAAACACAATATTTATGATTGATGAAAGTAGTAAATCAGATATGACCCGCACTGAAAACACTGAAACATTGACTTTAATTAAGTTGAACCTAATTATTTTAATTTTTACTTTATATAATTGCATTCAACTAACCTATTACAACTCTGTTAACATAAGATATTTAATTAAAGTCAACGTTTCAGTTTTTTGAGTGCGAACACGACAGGAGGGTTAAACTACTTAGTTAATCTCTGTCTGCTTAGGACATGTATAGGCTTTGTAGTTTGTTGCATTTTAATACTGATGCTTCCACATTTCTGGTCATGCCTTTGTGTTTCCTGTTACTCAGAGTATCAGGGATCTACATGTGCTCAAATGAAATTGTCATTAATGCTACACCAGTTAGTTATTCCCCCTCCACTCAGTGGTGCTTAGAGAAGGTTTGCCAAGCCGTATAATGGTTTATTTGGGCTGTGGTGTTGGCTGATGTGTGCCCACTGCCCAGGCCCAGCAGTGACAGACGGAGAGTGGAGCTGGCAGCTGGCTGTCTGCGGACACACAGAGCTCTGCAGCGAGGCACAGCGAGTGGCAGGGCCTAATGGGACCTGAGCAGGAGCTTAGGTCACTGCCATCTCAAATACAGCCATGGCACTGCAGACATCGGCGCTAACTCACCTTAGATTAGAGGCTGGAAGCATGGTGGTAACACACTCTGACACCTCAAAGCAAAGCCTCAGCCAGAGCATTTCAATTACCCAGCTTCCCCTGCTCCGGTGGATCTCCACAGCACAGTGCGTGCCCTAAGGTCTGCCAGGACACAGTGGGCCCTGGTTTTACACATCATATTAAGAATAACTTATTTATATTGTCTCCTATGTATGGGATTGTCATTACTGCACAAAACATGGAGGTAAAGGGTTAGCATAACAAAGCACTACCACAAAGAAATGCTTGTCTTCTGTAAAAGTTCAAACAATGAACTAGCACACACAGTCATAGAAAAGGGAGCAGAGTGAAGAGTCTTCTTCATAGGCATTCATTCCAGGCCTGCGCGGTAAACCACCAGCAATATGTATGGAGATATATAAGTCATCAGTAGTTGATTGATAGTTTCACTTAGGCCTTTAGCTTACCTTAGCCATCTGCATGTTTGTGCCTCTAACTAGAGGCTGTTAAGTATGTGTATGCCGTGTCAAATTGTTATGTTATTGTCAACCCTCAGTGCAGCTTTAATCGAGTGCTGCACTGATGACTTAGTTTGTGGGCTGAGCCAGAAGTTAGCAACACAATGACGCTCTCGGCAAAATGCTGTAGGATTTTTCCATTGGATTTTGGAATATTGCAGAAACAAACCCTTATGATCCTCACACGTTTTGTTCATTAGGATAAACTTTACATATTAACATCACTTTAATGAGGTTTGAAGCGAAATGCAATTGCCAGACTAAAAATATTAACTATGTAAATGAAAGGACATCACGCCAGTTGCCACTGCTAAGCTAAAGGTGGCTAATGTTCGGCTTATGTTTTTTTGTCTAATTTAGTTATTGACCGCCATTTTTATGACAGTAAGAACCTTCATATATTTACCAGTGGGGTATTTACTGACGTATTGTATTTCGTAGAACAAAATGTGAAAATCCCTTCTATTTGTATAAACCATAGACATTTCGGGCATCTAACACATTCAAAAAAACATTAACTTCATGACATTTTAAACAATGTTGTCTCCTATCCCGTGCTAGAACCATTATCAACATGGCTTCCTGTATTTTAAAAAGATGCTTTGCAGCAACTCCGTCACATTTCAGTTTTGCCAAAGCAGCTTGGGCCAAGAAAGATGTCAAATCCATTAGGTAACAAATATCTCTAAATAAAGGAACATTGTTGTACTTATGTTTTGATTTGTATAAACCCCCATTTTTTTATTCTATAATCTTAATCTTTTTACCTAATGAAAGAACATTTTAACACAGTTGTTAAATTAAATTTGAAAGTCATTACACACATCCGCAAGGTTTGCATACAGCATAAGAGAGTCAATGCAACATAAAGCGCGTGTGTGTGTGGGTCTTTGTCTTTGTGTGAGAGAGGCAGACAGCTGCTGGCAGTAATGTGCTTTCTCTTGTGTTCAGAGCGCTGGGCGCTGACCTCTATTTAGATGCCCAGAGAGAGAGATAACGTCCTGTGATGAGAACTACCCTCAGGCCAGGCCGGGTCTCAGCCCACTGTCAGTCATCGTGTGTGTGTGTGTGTGTGTGTGTGTGTGTGTGTGTGTGTGTGTGTGTGTGTGTGTGTGTGTGTGTGTGTGTGTGTGTGTGTGTGTGTGTGTGTGTGTGTGTGTGTGTGTGTGTGTGTGTGTGTGTGTGTGTGTGTGTGTGTGTGTGTGTGTGTGTGTGTGTGTGTGTGTGTGTGTGTGTGTGTGTGTGTGTGTGTGTGTGTGTGTGTGTGTGTGTGTGTGTGTGTGTGTGTGTGTGTGTGTGTGTGTGTGTGTGTGTGTGTGTGTGTGTGTGTTGTGGTGTGTGTGTGTGTGTGTGGTGTGTGTGTGTGTGTGTGTGTGTGTGTGACTTTCTTACATATATTTTGCTATTTGCAAGAAAAATTACCATCAGGTTTTGATTAGTTACTAGTATCACATTATGGCTAACGTTAGCTACGTTAGCAAATGCTACAAGCTTGTAAATTAGCATTATATGGCTAAATTGGCACCAAACGCTAATACACATGCTACTGTACATACTCGTCCCATAACGTAGCAATATTTCTAATTCTAAACTCAATCATATTTAATCATGCAGCCAAGACACACCAAACTTACACTCGCAGTGGGAGCATGGATGTATAAACAGAACTAGAGCACCGGACACCATGTTGAAGTTGACCGCAGCGTAGATGTTACGCTACGTTCAGAACGCATTAAACATCCCCTCATGGGGCTACACTGATGTTATTGGCTAAAAATGAAGGAGGCATCTGATTGGGTACAAACAGTACATTGCTGGTGGCGTCAGGGGAGTCCCAAAATGTGTTTTTATAAAAGTAACAACAAATATTTAAAATATGTTTCATGATAAAAACATGAATATGTTACATTTTTCCACATGAAACATATTTTAAATAATGTATATTAATACATATATGTATATAAATACATATATTTGAATCCAAAAATATCCAAAAATATTTGTTTGAGGATCAGAAATATATTGGTGAACTTTATTTAAATATACGTGGATTTTGTTTTACATAAAACAATAAATATATATATATGCATTGAAAAATATTTCTGTAGATTGAGACATTATATATAAATCCTGAATAACATTTGTGAACCCTTCTGTTAGCTTCAATTTATTTTGAGACTGAAATGCCCCATTCTGAGCCCCGTTTGTTCTGACATCGCCTGATAAAATGCATGTGTGTCTATTTGGGGCCTGATGTGTATAGTCCTATATGTATGTATGTATTTGTACTGTATACAATAACAGCGTAAACTACATTTCCTCAATTGGAATTAAGAAAAGTAAAATGTCTTCTTCTACTTTCAG